CTGCTATCGATTTTAAATCCTTGTCCCTTGTTTATAATCAGGTTAATCTCTCCCTGATAGAGTCTTGCCCGTAAACTTAAGCCGATCTCAGTCCTTACTTCAAAAGACAAAAGGTTCCATCAGCATTTGGCCAGTGTTTTAAAATGTCCTCTCTTATCGACAATCTTTCAACCAAAAATTTAGCTCCTTGGCCCCTGCGCTAAGAACGAAGGTCGTAATTAACCACTAAACTCTTGGTGTAATCTGGAGAATCTGCAGCTGGGGCCATAGATCCTGCCTTGAGTCGTGCACAGTGGATATATGCTGTTATCCCTGTTGTAAAATGTGATTGTTAAAAGCACCCCAGACTTAAACCTGTAAAGAAAGATAAAACTATGGTATTTCTTTTAAACACTTAGCTTCTGGCAGAGTGTGGGCAGCCAGCCAAAACAGATCTGTTAAAATAAAGAGGAAACAAAGCAGAGAACAGAGGACTGGTATTGTGACTGTTGACAATATAGAAACTTCATTGTTGTCATAATAATCGTAAAGGTTCTATATGGCACAAAATGGAGTCTTGGGAGCTTTAAGTCATGTTATAATGTTATCTCGTCAAAAACAGACCTGGAGTTGTGTTTTGTTTCGTCTACACCTTTGAGTAGTCTTGGTTTATTAGCCAGACTACATCTCCAACACTTAAAATGCTCTGTTCGATTCTGTGATGTTAATTTGAAAACTAACGCTTTGTGACATCTACCCTTTACCTTTAGTTCAGTAGAGATTGGAAATTCCAGGGCTGAAATCATCCAACTGATTCTAGTGAAGGTGTATGAAGTATAAAAACACAGTGGAGCACTTCCTTGTATTACCACATGACATCACAATTGGTATTTTCCAATTGAGAGAAGAACTCGGTATATGAAATATGAAAGATTTGAGTGTTGTGTGTGCGTGTGAATTACATAAAACACTCCATATTTTTGATGAGGAAACAACATTACAACATACATTGAAAAATAGCAGAATATGGGCCCTATTTTATTTTAAATATTATATATATATATATATATATATATATATATATATATTTGTTTTTTGCTGTTATATTTAAGAATTTACTAGAGTGAAAATGATCCCTAGATTAGACCTGGTTTAAACCTGGTTTAGTCCTAGATTAGACCTGGAATAATCCTGGTTTAGACCTGGTTTAGCCCTAGATTAGACCCGGTTTAGTCCTAGATTAGAGCCTAGTTTAGTCCTAGATTAGACCAGAATAGGCCTGGTTTAGACCTGGTTTAGCCTTAGATTAGACCTGGAATAATCCTGGTTTAGACCTGGTTTAGTCCTAGATTAGACCTGGTTTAGTCCTAGATTAGACCTGGAATAATCCTGGTTTAGACCTGGTTTAGATCTGGTGGCACTCTGAAAGGCAAATCTTTTCTTTGTTGGTACTTCAGTGTTAAAAGTTTGAGCGCCACTGTTTAGTCTTTATTTGAAAGGACAATGTACAGAGACATTAAGCCATTAAGCAGATGTTCAGCTCCAGATTAAAGCAAAATGGTGAGTCTCCATCTGCAGTCCCCTAGAGGGCGACGTCACATTCAGTCCACTTCTATAGACAGTGTATGGGTTGCACACAATAACATCAGCTATTTTAAAGATCCTATATTACACAAAATGTACTCTTGTGAGCTTTAAGTCTTGTTATTTTGTTGCTGTTGTTTCTTCCTCAAAAACAGACCTGGACTTGTGTTTTGTTTCATTCACACATGTTGGAGTAACCCTTTATTGTCTACATCTCCAAAGCTCAGAATGCTGCCTTTCACCTTTTGATGTCATGAAGCATGAGTTTTCAAGTGAACAGCTCCTTTAGTTCTTGGCAATTTTAGGCCCGCAATCATCCAAATGATTCTAGTGAAGGTCTCTGAGTTTTTTTTTTGGTTTTTTTTCACAACTGGATGCATAAAATTGATACAACAAACATGGCTGTGTGTCGTCAGCAGGTATGAGTCGGGATGAGGGAACATAAACACAGCATATTATACAGTAACAATACCATAGTAATAAAACAACATTAAAATAATAATAATAATTTAGCATTTAGGAAGAGAAAAGGATAATAGGAAGGGAAGTGGAGTTTAGGGATGAGCATTCGATGAAATTTTCTTAATCGATCGTCGGAAGAATTAACGATCGATTATCGATTAATCATTAACATTTTTATATTAAAATGATCATCATTATTATTACTATTTGCACTACTAACCTGCATAAATAAATTCAACTTTACGACATATAAACCGTAACCACTCTAGAGCCACATCAATCCGTTTGAGATTATAATGTGTTTAATTCAGTTTTGTGCAACTCTCACAGAAACGAAACTTAAAACCGCATTGCTAATTTGTATAAACTAAGCGAAGATAAAAAATACAGCTCTTGTGCACTGATGCGGTCAACTTCTGTCGGATTAAAAGACATGATTCAGTGGAATACAGGTTAGTGTGACCATATTTGCGTTTGTCAAAACCAGGACACTGTACGGGGGGAGGGAGGTGGGGACTCGTCATCGACATTGCGCGACTCTCACCTGGTAAAGCTTTTTCCCACTTGACACCGAAACATATGTTCCTGCTTTATACACTGTGCACATGGACTCCAACTTGTCCCAAACGCAACGGAAAGCGTGGAATTTCTTGTACAAATCATTGCTAAATACGCATTTGTGCTTCGGTACGCTTGCAGACTCACTCACGCTCCTTCTGAGTGCAGAGAGACACATGTACGGATCCTGTTTGGTCACACTACGCACAGCAACCTACATTCGGTTTGTCGATTAAAATTAACGTAATCGATGAAATTCTTAATGATTAATTATCGATTAATCGATTAATCATGCCCATCTCTAGTGGAGTTCATTCAACTTGAGTTCATAAAATCCAGGAGAATTTCACACATATAGAAATATACTTTTTGAGCTTTAGATCCATTCATATATTTCAGAGCTTTTATATATAATTTGAGTTCATTTTTAAAGCGAGCAAAGTTAGGGGGACACTTCTGAATTTTACATTCGTGGATGTAGAATTTAGCAAGACATAATATTATGTTTCAGGGTAGCCGCAGGGTCTTAAAATGGTCTTAAATTTCATGTTCCTAAATTAAGCCCTTAAAAAATGTTAAATTATGTTGTCCAAGTCTTATTTTTTTCCACAAAGGTCTTAAATTTCATTAGCCTATTATTTTTATATATTCAACTGGGCTGCAGTGAAATGTTAAACGGAGGGAGGAAGAAAATAACGTAAAATCTTGTAACGTGAATGAACATCTAATTTGGAGTATGTGTAAACAATACTTTGGTTTCTGGTGCCGGCAGCAATGAGTAAACAATCAGTAGAGTGGAAGAAGATGTTATGGATCATGAGGAAGTGTAGATTTAATCCACAGTTCTAGATATAGTACGGTAGTTGGTTGGTCATTATTCAAATTGGATCTGGTGTTTTTCGCCCGCATAATTGATGCCATGTTGGTCTTAATTTTCATTTAAGCGGTCTTCAAAAGGTCTTAAAAAGTCTTAAATTTGGGGTAGTCAAACCTGGGGATACCCTGAGTTTACACAGAGTTCTTCTTTATTTTGTAGTAGTACACTGAAAATGATAACATCTCTGTAGGTTAAAGGGCCCATTTCATGCAAAATCAACTTTTCAGAGCTTTCTACCTTCTAAGAGTGATGTGTGAGCCTTGAATATTTCGCTGAAGTGTTTTTTAGATTGATTCAGCTGCTACAACGATGACGCGGCAGCTACACCTATGACGCGTTTGACGTAGCAGAAAACGCTTCGCACCCGCCTCCGTCCTCCGCTCCCCTCCACCCTGCATTGGCTGACAATTCCCACATGAACCCCTAAACCAAAGTGACAGCATAAGCTCATTGTTCTATACTGCACTGTACACGATATAATAAGTTTATCTACTAGTGTTTATTAATACTTTACCAATCAGTAATGTTCAGCTGATGCCAACACGGTGCTTGAGCTTCATGCACCTCCAAGTCCTCGTCTGATTCCGGGTCCAGCACATGCGGCTGAACGCGCTGTATCTCCATGATGAATAAAAGTTTATTCCTACCACTATCAGGGTGCACACCTGTCTCCCCCTCCCTCCCTGAGATGGGCGGAGGAAGGGCGGCTCACTCAGAGCCTATGTCACGTTTGGAGGGCGGAGCCTGTGCTTTCTCAGGACGGGTGGGGGGATGAGCAATAGTTGGTCTTTCATAGTTCCTGGTCTGTGACTGTCTCCAAGAAATCAGTAAGATTTCATAACTATTGTGTAATGGATGTTCCAAAACCCAAATTGTGCTTATATATGTGCAGAAGATACAATGTGAAAAGAGTTATTTTGCATGTGATGGGCTCTTTAAAAGTACAGTGATGCACTTCCTGTATTACCACATGACATCACAATTTGGAACAAGTTGGAGTGTTTTTTATTCGAAACTCAGCTTAAATCTGCAGGGTTTGTTTGTTAAACGCGTGTGAATGAAGCAACACACAATTCCAGGTCTGTTTGTGATGAGGAAATGACTTTCTAACATAGATGAGAGAATAGTGTGATATAGACCCTTTAATCAGTCATTACCAAACTGCATCTAATTAAACCACGCAGTGAAACTGAAGTAGGGCTGTATCAAGAACACCAAATTTGAGAAAGGAAATTGTCAAAGTGGCGTCTTTAAATGATTTTGGCTCCAGATTTGGCAGCTGGCGGTTTGTGAGGAGAGCTTTTAATTTGATTGCTAAGGTAAGTATCCAATTCAGTTAGCTAAGTCGGCTTGAGAGGAGCTAGCTAACAATGCGTTCCCTGATTGCTTCGGCAGCTGCATGTAAAATATAGCCCGGCTTGTTTATCCTAGAAGCTCTTTTCAGCTCTCCTCGGAATTCATAATTGGGTCGGTAAACTCTTCTCTAATTCTCTGTTTTTGCTTCATTTTGATGTGTTTCTTTTCGGGGTTTTTTTTGCAGGTGAAGAAGGAGTCTGTGGTATCATGTGTGCTGGATTCCGAGGCTGTGGCTTGGGACAGAGAGAAGAAGCAGATCCAGCCATTTCAGGTGCTCACCACAAGAAAGAGAAAGGTAAGAACATTTACTTGGGCAATGATGTAGTGTGAGATAGTGTGTCATGATACTACATTGTAAAAAGCAATATCTGGCTACTTTAAAATGATTTAAATTATGATCATTTGACTTTATTTGAGTAGATTCAACCTGATAAAATGATCTACCAATGGAACAAGTGTTTTTCTTAATTCAAACAACATTAGATTTTGTTGTTGTCTTGTTTCTTTTATCTTTTTTTTTATATTTTAAGTACAGAAAGTCTTGTTCCAAAATAATAAAATGCACTCAATATAATCTACTCAAATCATGATAAAACTTTCTTAATTCAGGTGATCTTAGTTTGGTTAGATTTGAGTTTTTTCACTGTAAAATTTCAAACTTTCAAATTTTGATACTGAGGAATAGACTCAATACTCAATATAAACATTAAAGAGATTAAAGAGAAGAGGGAGGAATAAAAACCTGTCAGTCATATGCAGCGAACAGTCATGTTTTGAGCCTGGATTTAAGCACAATCAAAGTTTTAGTTCTGCCTTAGTCCTGCCTTAGTCCTAACTTAGTCCTGCCTTAGTCCTGCCTTAGTCCTGCCTTAGTCCTGCCTTAGTCCTGCCTTAGTCCTGGCTAGGTTCTGGTTTAGTCCTGCCGTAGTCCTGCCGTAGTCCTGCCGTAGTCCTGCCTTAGTCCTGGCTAGGTTCTGGTTTAGTCCTGCCGTAGTCCTGCCGTAGTCCTGCCGTAGTCCTGCCGTAGTCCTGCCGTAGTCTTGCCGTCATCTTGCCGTCATCTTGCCTGTAGTCCTGCCTGTAGTCCTGCCTGTAGTCTTGCCTGTAGTCCTGCCGTTAGTCCTACCTTTAGTTTTGCTGTAGTCTTGCCGTAGTCCTCTTGTAGTCCTGCCGTAGTCCTGCCGTAGTCCTGCCGTAGTCCTGCCGTAGTCCTCCTGTAGTCCTGCCTTGGTGCTGGTTTAGTCCTGGTTTAGTTCTAGTTTAGTCTGGTATGTATGTATGTATGAAGCAAAGGGAAAAAAAGATAACTACTAAATATATTTATTTTTTATTTTATATGCAAATTCTCAAAGTATCACCCCTTATTAGAGTTATTTCTTTACTACTTTCTACATTTTATCCATATGGAAGACATCAAATATATGAAGCAAGATATATGGAATTACAATATGTAGTAAAGACAACAGTTAAAGGTACATTGTGTAACTTTTCCATCAAATGCTTTTCTCTGTGAAGATGTTACATGTTCCACAGTATGACATTAAACAGCTCTACTTTACATTTATTCAATGGCAGGTCATTTTATAGCTCACAAATACCTAGAAAAACAGACATTCTGACTTTGAGCGGGGTCGCTTCTCCGCAGATCTGACCTGTAACTTAGTCTGGTTTGGTCTCCATGAAGGTCGAAAAGTTAAATGCCATACTGTGGAACATTCCAGACAAAGCAATAGCATCTCAGAAAAGCATTCAGCGGACCCTCCAACAGAAAAGTTACACGATGCAGCTTTAAATAAGTAGACTAAATATTTTTTCGCAAAGCACTACTACACAATTCCATTTATCGTACTTCAATATTTGATGTGTATAAAGTGGAGAAAGTAGTAAAAATAAATAAAGATAAACATAAAGAATTAAAACTTCTGACTGTAGTATGTGTATATAATAAAAGTAAGTACTGACTTGCACCATTATTTCGGTCATATTTATTTCCATACTTTGTTGATGGCCAGTGAAGGATTCTTGTTTATGTTTCTAGCACGTCTGTATCCTCCATCTTCAAACGGCAGCTTTATCTGAATCTCTTTTTACTGTACAGACTGAACCCGCTGAACCTCACTCATGTGAAAGATGATTGATATCTGCGGAGAGTCAAAAAGGTAGAGCGCCACAGATAATGAGGAGAGGAGAGAGGAGACGAGACGACGAGATGAGGAAGGAGATAAGGAGCGAGGAGAGGAGACGAGGAAGGAGAGAAGAGAGCAAAGAGGGAGAGACAAAGAAAGGAACAAAGAGAAAGGGGTGAGGAAATGAGGAGACAAGGAGAGAGCAGACCAGAAAAGGAAACAAGGAGAGAGAGAGAGAGAGAGAGAGAGAGAGGGACAATGAAAAGAACAATGATTTGAAAAGGAGGAGAGGAGATAAAGAGAAGAAAAGAATAAAGGATAGAGTAAAAAAGAGGACGAGGACGGAAGGAACAAGGAGAGGAGACAAGGAAGGAGAGAAGAGAGGAAAGAAAGTGGAAACGGGAACAATGAAATAGAAAAGAGGAGATGAGGAGGCAAGGATGGAAAAGATGAGGAACAGAGGAGACAAGAAAGGACAGAAGAGAAAAAGGAGAGAGGAGACAGACAGTCACAAGGAACTAAGAGAGGAGAGGAGACGAGAGATCAGTGGAAGAACAACAATGGGATAGAGGAGAGAAGAAATTGGAAAAGTAGACAGGAGGCAGGGATGGAAAAGAGAAGGAAAGGAAAAAAGGAAGGAAAGAAGATGAATAGTGTGGATGAGGATAGAGTTTTCCAGCCGGTGAGAGAAAGCAGAATAACAACAGTTCGACAAGTGGGAGAAGACAGAGGAGAGAAGGAATATGAAAAGGAAAGAGAAGACACGGAAAATAGGACGAAAGGAGACAAGGAAGGAGAGATGAAGAGAAAGTAAACAAGGAAAGAGAGAGATCAGGGGAAGGAGAGAGAATACAAAGAAAAGAGCAAGGATGGATTCATAAAAAAGGAGGGGAAATGAGGAGACAATTAGAGAAGGGAAAAAAATTAGACGTTAGACAAGGACGGAAAAGAGAACGAAATGAGTAGAGGACAAGGAAGGAAAGGAGATGGAGACAAGGAGGAAGAGACTCAAAAGGAGCAAGGCCTTGAATATGAGGAGAGGAACTGAAGACAAAAGGTATTCATGGATTTTAGACAAACAATTCTTTCCTGTTTTGAAGGACTGTTGTGAGGACCCAGAGAGGGGCTTTATTCATTCAAAAGATAAAATATTTATTTGAATTGCTTAATTGCTGTAAGCAGTGGGGAAGATTGCCATCATAGCTCGAAAAGCATGAATACAAGGAGAGCGAAGAAGATAAGGAGAGAGGGAAGGAGACGAGGAGAGAAGGAAGGGGACGAGGAGAGAAGGAAAGAGGGAAGGGGAGAAGCAAGGAGACGAGGAGAGAAGGAAGGAGACGGGGAGAGAAGGAAGGAGACGGGGAGAGAAGGAAGGAGACGGGGAGAGGAGGAAGGAGACGGGGAGAGGAGGAAGGAGATGGGGAGAGGAGGCGGGGAGAGGAGGAAGGAGATGGGGAGAGAAAGAAGGAGACCAGGAGAGAGGGAAGGAGACCAGGAGAGAGGGAAGGAGACCAGGAGAGAGGGAAGGAGACCAGGAGACAGGGAAGGAGACCAGGAGACAGGGAAGGAGACAAGTCGAGAGGGAAGGAGACAAGTCGAGAGGGAAGGAGACAAGTCGAGAGGGAAGGAGACAAGTCGAGAGGGAAGGAGACAAGTCGAGAGGGAAGGAGACAAGTCGAGAGGGAAGGAGACAAGTCGAGAGGGAAGGAGACAAGTCGAGAGGGAAGGAGACAAGGATGGACAACCAGGAAAGGAAAAAGATGGAGGAGAGACAAAGAAAAAGCGAGGAGAGGAAAGAAGGAGGAGAGGGAGAGAGAAAATTGGAGATAGAAGACAAGTGAGGTGACAGTTTATACATTTATTGCCACAAATGTTTGGAGGAGTTAATACAATTTACCTTCTAAAATAATATCAAAAGGCCCATCTTACACTATTTTGTTATTATGTAGTTTCCTCATCACAAACAGACTTGGAGTTGTGTTTTGTTTCATTCACACATATTTAACACACAAACCCTGCATGTTTAGGCTGAGTTCTTCTCTCAAACAGACAACCACTCTCTTCCACCTTGTGATGTAATTTGATAAAGGAGGAAGCGCTCCAATGTGTTTTTAAAGCCCATACACCCTCAATAAAATCATTTGGATAAATTCCACCCTGGAATTGCCAATGGATAGGAGATGAGGAAAGAAACCAAGGGAGGAGATGAAGAGTGGGACTAGATGAGACAAATAAAGGAGCAAGGGTTTGAAAAAAGGAGAGGAGCCAAGGAGAGGAAACAAGGAAGGAGAGAAATGAGAAAATAACTAGTGAAGGAAGGAGAGAGGAGACTGGGACAAAAAGACAAGAGAGGAAATGGTGAAGGAGATGGAGAGGAAACAAAGATGAAGACAAGGAGAGTGGAGACAACAAAAGGAACAAGTGTGTGGGGGAAAGAGAGAAGGAGAGAAGAAATGAGGTAGGAAACAAAAGACAAAATGAGAAACAAGGGAAGGACAGAGGAGACCATGACAGAAAGAAAAATGGAAATGGTGAAGGAGACACAGAGATAAGACAACAAACATAGGTTTGAAAAAAGGAGAAGATGAGGGAGGTGCTGAAGAGAGGGAGTAGATGAGACAACAGGAACTGTGGCTCCATCTGAAAATGGGTAAACATTTTATTTCCTTGTGCTTCTTTCTTCTTCCTTCTCCTTTTGCTGACCTCTGACCCATGAGAGCTACATCATGAAGTCAACTATAAGGACCAAGGAGGAGGAAGGAGCAGTGAGGAGAAGGAGCTATCGCTGGTTAAGGTGGATCCAGATCCTCCTAACCAGAGGCGAGAACAATAGTCAAACTACAACTCCCAGAAAATGCACTACAACAAGCGTACCACCCTCCAGTACTGCGCTGAGTCTTATGAGAATGAATTAAACCTTTCACAGAGAGGACACATATATTCCACTGAGTCGTGTCCTTAAGTCTGACAGAATCTGAATCGCATCAGGACACAAGGAACAAGCTGTTGTTTTCAGTGCGTATAGTTTGTGCAAATGAGGCAAGTGGCTTTAAGTTTCATTTCTGTAAAACGTAAACAAATGTGCACAAAGCTGCATTAAACACGTTACAATTTCAAACGGGCTGATGACGCTCTATAGTCGTTGTGGTTTGTGTAGTAAAGTTGAGTT